TAAGCTCCAAGTCTTGTTGATAGTTACCATGTTAAGCTCTTCTTTCATGGCTTCAATCCATTTAGAAAATTTGAATGCCTCTTCAAGTGTTGCTAGTTCAATTAAAGCCATATGATAGCTCTCATATATGTCAAATAATGATTGAATGCCTCTCACAGGGGGTTCATCTACTGACTACTCACTATCAAATATGTCATTGTTGTTGACAAAATGGAAATCAACATTACCATTTAGAATTCTTGTATACTAAACTTGTTTAAACTCCTAATTCCAATAAGCTCTTTTATCAAATGATACATTTATGCTAGCAAGGACTCTACTTGTATCAACTTGATAAATTCAGTAAACTTTAGACTGTTGACTATAGGCAATGAAGATTCTAATCTTTGCCTTAGGTTACAACTTTTCTCTAAGCTAATATGCACATATTGATAACAAATGCACCAAAAAATCCTTAAATGATCATTAAGGGGTTTGATATTATGCCAGGCTTCATAAAGAGTTTATTGTTAACAGTTTGAGTCACCAAGATGTTTTGCAAATAGACAGAGTTACTTGTTGCTTTAGCCTAGAAAGATATTGGAAGACTTTTCTCAAATATCAACCATCTTGATATCTCAACAATTGTCCTAATCTTTCTTTCACTGAGCCTATTCTTTTAAGGGAATATGGAGCAGTTAGATGATGATGAATGCTTTCTTTTCCAAGAAACTTTGAAAATTTGATGAAGTATACTCTCCACCATTATTTGACCTCAATGTCTTGATTTTTCTACTAAATTCATTCTCAACTCTAGCTTTAAACTTCTAGAATATGAAAAACACTTCTGATTTATGCTCTATAAAATAAATCCAAGTCATTCTTGACATGTCATCAATGAAAATGACAAAATATCTACTTCTACTTAATGAAGGCCCACTCATATGACCATCAACATCAAAATGAACTAAGTCAACCTATTGACCACTTAGTTGAAGGTCAATTTAGAAAAAGGCTTTCTAGTCAATTTACCAAGCTAACATGAACTGTACACAGAACCAAGTTGATGTAATTTTGGAAAATCAAGCAATAAACCTGAGGCACTGCTTTGCAATAATGACTTATAATTGCAATGATCAAACCTTTTATGCCATAAGGATATTTGTTCTAATGACGACTCCATTACAGACAAGCATACGTTACTCCATTTCACAGGAAAACACTTATTAATCATATAAATTGACATCATATACTCACTTGTAGGCTCATAAATTGTGCATGCATGATTTTTAAATAACAACATATAATCACCATCAACTAATTGACTCACGCTAAAAAGATTTTGAGTTATTTTAAGAACCAAAAGCACATGGACGACATATCCGGTGCCTAAGACAGTTGGAATAGCTACTTTTCCTTTCCCTGAACCTTTTAGTATGTAACCATTTCCTATTTTCACTGTTGAGCGATGATTAACATCAATTTTTATGAATAATTCAACATTGGGAGTCATGTGATTTGAGCATGTATTGTTAATAAGCCATTGATTCTCAGCCTCTAAGCTTGACTTTGTGGTAGCCATGAATAAAACTTCCTTTACAACGTTAGCCTTTTTAACTTGTGTTGAAGCTTGTGGTTTCTTGTCTATTACATCGGCTTTGTTCTTGTAGACTTTTTCTACGTGTCCCAACTACTTGCATGCAGTACATTTAACCCCAGGGTTACCCAATAATGCATGACTTATCTTTTTACAATAAGAACGGACAAGAAATTCGCCTTTTTTGTTCTAAAACTTTCTAATATGTGTTCCGGCTTTATCCTTGTCTTGAGTTTCACTTGAATTTTTTTTAAAGAAGAATCTACATGTGCTTTTCCCTTCACACGAGCAGTAAAGCATGGTCAACCTTCTCATCTCTCTTTGCAACTTTCCTTTGTTCATCAGCTTCCAAGGCACTCATCAGATCAGTGATTGTAAGTTCTAAGATGTCATTTACTTGCTCCGGAGAAGTGACTGTGGCATTAAACCTCTCTAGTAAGTTGATCATAACCTTCTCCACGACTTTCTCATCTGTAAGAGTCTCTCCCACAAGTTGAATCTGATTTACCAGCTTCATCACTACATCAACAAATTCATGCACTGTTTGAATTTTTTTTCATTTTTAGTAGTTCATATTATCTTTTGAGGTTTTGCAAACCCATCTGTTTGCTTCTAGTAGACCCCATAACTCCTTTTCAAGCTTACTCTAAGCCTGTTTTGTTATCTCACACCCCATAATCTTACTAAAGACTGAATCAGACATAGCTAAGTGTAAGAAAGGCAAAGCCTTATATCTCTTTGCTATGTCCTCTACATATTGCTTCATCTATGCTTGTGAAACATTATCTTTCAGTATTGGTAGTTCAGTCTCATTCTCAACAGCATTCCAAAGGTTAACGCCTTTTAGAAATGTTTTCATCTTGATAACCTAAATAGGATAGTTTCAACCATCAAAGATAGGTGATGCTTGTTGAGCAACAATTGAAGTTGACATCGTTTGAAAAAGAGTTAACTTTCAATAGGTGTAAATAAAGGTTTTGAGATTGTTTATTAGAGTTTTAGATGGCTCAAAGGTTGGTTGTAAGCTATGATATCATGATATTTTCTGTTCAAAACATTGAAGGATATATAACAGTAATGCAAAAAATAAACCAAAGTTAAAAGAAAAGAAACTTTGTAAATATCAAGCTTATACACTAAGTGATGAGGAAATACAAACATTTATATCTTACATACACGGTTAACACTTGTACTTAGACAAGTGTACAAAAAACACTAAGCTAAACATGCATTACACAAGCAAACTATCCTCTGATTTAGCAAACCAGTACAACAAAGCAGAATGAATACATGTCCAATATTTAGTTCAGAAAATAAACAAAACTCAAGCTAGTTTTATCTCAACAAGCAAGAGTAGCAAATTTGCGTAAAAGTTTTAATTTATTTACTCTGGACAATTTTAATATATTGTTTATAGTGATGTGACAATAACAATACAATTTACTAGTGAACGAATAGGAAGAAGAAAGATAAGGAGTTGATGTTATCGTTGCAGAAGCTATCATGGTTGGATATGATAAGGGAAAAGGCGAGAATAGAAAAATACTACGGTAGCGTTTAGTATGAGGAAAGTAAGAGCACATTCCCTATAATATGCTCAATTAAACTACATTACAATATTTATTTTATAACAAACCACCGTAATGTAATATTGCAATGCAATCACATTATAGTTAATGGATGTAATGTATTACAGTCCAAAACCAATATAATCAGATTGCTTTGTAATCTGTAATGTTATTAAATATATTTTTACTTTTTAACTTTATTACTTTGTTTAAAACATTTTATTTTTTTATAGCATTAAAAATATTTTATAATATTATAATTTTTTTATATAGATTTTGAAGATGTCTTTTTATTATTCTTAATAGTCATGTTGACTATCAATAAAATTTATATTATTTTTTGAAAAAATTAAAATCAAAATAAAATATACATATATAAGATTATAATAAAAAATAAAAAATATAATATATGATATTAAAAATAAAAAAAAAGGTAAAGTTGGTCGAGGTTGAGCAGGTAATCATGAGAGATTTTACGTAGTCAATAACTACTTTATCTCATTAAAGTTCAGATAATTTATGAGGAAATAACATCTTATTTGCTTTCTGTTAATTTCTGTTTTACCAACTGTTGCTTCTTGGTCTTAAGAAATTCGAGTTGGTGAGAGTTGAATTTGCTTTTGCACCGGTGGCTACGAGTTCAGACACAAGCAAGACTTTGGGAATTCGGATAAACAAGGGTTTGGGTTGGGTCGGTCTCAACTCTCAGTAAAACCTTACATCAACATGCCACAATTATTCTTTACCAGTCAAAAGAAATTATTAAATAAACACGTGTTATCTGCCATAGCAGCCATAGATAAAGACGTTACATTAGAAACTATGACTATATTATAGAAAAATGGCCACCACCCAATTCTGATTTTCTTATTTTAAATTTCTCGCAACACGAAAAAGACATACTAACACTAAATATGTAATATTATACTTGTTACATTAGACGTGTTAGTTTTATCTTTAAAAAATCATACTATATAATAGAGTCATATTACTTATCTCATCATCTTATGTATCTCAAATATTTGTACGTTATCCTAATATGACATGAACCTATTGAATAAATTCATAAATTGGATTTATTAATTTATGAATAGATCAATTCATCTATAATTACAATCAAATTAATAGATTATTGTCTCATAAAGTAGTTCAAATATTCGTATTGAACAACTGTGATCCTTCAAATGCTGATTAGCATGAGTTTACTGTAGACAACTCTATGAGATTCTTCATTAGGTTGTTAGCATGCTAATGGCACTCTTGGGATGAAGCAGTCGTGATAGACAACTCTATAATTCTTGGTAATAAACACAATTTGCTAAAATTGTCTTCTTTTTCTTGGAATGAATAGTATGTAGCGTGGGCTACAATAATCCAATGTCAAACTGTTACGTGCATAGGTGGGTTGCAGAGTGTTGTTACCTCAATTACTGTAACAAAGCCACGATGAAGTCAGCAGCTATTTGTTTGATCTTTTGGCTTGTAGACCCAACCTGATCAAAGTTTCTTTCCATTTTTTAACTTCCCTCGACACCTATAGGGTCCAAGAAGAACCACATTCCCTAAACACTTATGGCTAAACGTCAATTTGTATTTCGACTCCAATTTCCATTTCTTCGTAATTTTGCAAGTACTAGATACCTACTCACTATCTCTTCACATGGCTAACCAATGGTCCTAATGGAGTGCCCTCTAACATATATCGTTGCTTGTACATCATCTCTTCATGTAATCCCGACACCAGTATCCACATCGCGAGTCCAAATTCCTGCTAACAAGTTACAATAACTATAACGAAAGGATATTAAAATCTTTCTGCTCAAAAACCCAAAAAAAAAAAAGAAAAAAAAAAGAAATAAGCAATTAAATCCTGGAAAGATATATAGAAGATGATGAGAATAAGCCAAAAGAGATTCTTTTTCCCATATTTGTTCCAAAACGCTCCCTTCTAGCAGACTTGTCCAGTACATTGGTTGGTCATTTGGCTATTGACCCACCATTTCTTTTTGCATAATATATCCTTTTATTGGGATTTCCAAACAACTCCATCGTCATTCATAATCCTAGCCCAACTAACATTCATGTGCATATAAATCATAGTACTAAACAACCTACTTTAATTTCATGTACACACCCTGGAATTACCATAAACAAAGACACAGAAACCAAGCACAACCTAAATGCTTGTCTAACTTTCCATCAGAGCTTTATAATGTAGGAAACGGAGGCGGAGGCCGGAGGCAGCTCCCTCTGTCTCTCCAACATCAAACCCTCCGTTCTATCCCGCATACTGATCAGGACGTTCTGCCACGTGTTCACTCTCGACTGGGCCTTCCCATGGACACCGACGTTTAACTCCACCAAATCCTCCGCCCTCACTTCCACAACTTCTTCGGGATCCGCACCGTCCATCATCCATATGAGACACGAACAGAACCCTTTCGTAATCTCCGAATCACTGTCGGCTCGGAACCTTACCTTTCCATTTTGGTCTATTCTGGCGTCGAGCCACACCTGAGTGGTGCAACCGTTGACCCGATTCTCCGGCACCCGAGCCGACTCGTCCAAAGGAGCAAGCATCGCTGCGTAATGTAACAGCCGTCTTACGCGATCGATAGGCTCGGTTAAAGACTTGAATTCTGAAACCAAGAGTTGAATCTTGTCCGAAACTCCTTCATAGGAGGTTTCTGACCGAGTTTCAATCGTCGTTGAACACGAAGAAACAGCGAATATCTTATCAGAAGCAGATTTACATAACAATTTTGATTTATTTACTCTGGGAAACTTAACTTGAATCTTTTCAGTGTTAGGATAATGGCTTCTATCACTGAAGCAATAACACGAGGAAACATAAGGGTTCATTCTTATGGAGGAGGAGGTCATGTTTGGATAGAACGAAGATGAAGGAAAAGAGGAAAGGGAAAATGAAGGAAAAGGAAAAGAAATACCCAAAGAAGGAAAACGAGGAAAGAGCGAGAAGTTCGTTCTGTTGAACAAGTAAAAGGGAAAAGATCCTTAAAAAACGCACCCCATCGGTTGTCTTGTCTGTGTTTGAGATTTTGCGTCGAAATTCAAGTGGCGGAGCTGACGATCCAATGAAAAATGTCAAAGAAGAAGAAGAAGAAGAAGAAGAAGAGGCCTTTTTATAAAAATGCTTGCTTTCCATTAAGATAACGCGCCAAAATTCTGTCTAATTTGGATTTTGGCCCCACATTTTCTAACTTCACCCACATTAGGGGCTTAATTAGCAACATGATTCTCCAAATCGTTTGGTAGTATTAATCTAAACTAGTTAAATCACGTTTGAAATCCTCTATCCATAAAATAATGAGTTTTAATGCAGACAAACATATATTTTAATTTTTTTAATGATTTTATGACTTAGGTTTTTTAAATTGTAGATTTGGTTTCTTATGTGAGCGATGACGTTAAATACATCAAAAGTTATTTCTTCAAAAATATGGGCCCTTAAACTTATTTTAAGTATGTTAATGGTATAATATTTTTAAAAAATCTTTAAATTATGGAGAAAAATTTAAATAAATTTTTAATTTTTTATTATGTTTAATTAAGTTCTTATATTTTTATTTTGAGTTCAATAAGTTTTATTATTAATTAAAATATCATTTTTCATTTTATATCACATGATACTGACATAGTATGTTGACATGTTATAATAGATATTAATATGACACGATGATATAATCATGTGGTATTTTTAACACGTGGGTATAAAACAACACTTATTATTTTACTACTTACATTTAGATTTTGCATTTACAAAAAAAAATGTTATAAAGTAAAAGTAAGTAATAAAACATTACCCCATATTTGATTAAAATGAATATTACATGATAAAATTTAATGATGTCATATATAAATAAATTTATGACTTTCATTATCAATAAACATAATAGTACTAGTTGAATGGGAAACAAGTTAGTGAGGCATGGTCATTTTCTTGAATTCCTTTTTAGAGATTTTTTGTCGTAGTAATTAGAATAAAATAATAAACTCGATTTAGGACTTTCAATAATCTCACCTTCTATTAATATACAAAACTATACTTTTTAAAAAATATATAAAAAATTTGAACTTTTAATCATTTCAAAGCATTTTTTTTTACTTTCAAAAATAAAAACGAAAATTATGGATTTTGTAAAGAAAACAAAAACAAAATGGCGAAAAGCCTGGAATGAATCAAATATTCACACTCACTCTTTGGGGGTGGGTCTTTTTTCTTTCTTTTGCAAAGGTGATCACTCATCCCACCAGGAGTGAATTACAGTAACATAATAAATTAATAGAAGGCATGAAATCAGATATCATGACCCTTGTGTCACGGGGTCATTACCCTCTCCTCATGAAAACCGGTTGTCACAGGTGTGCAGCACCTCGCTTCTTATAGCCCAGGACCTACCCGTTCCTGCCCGATGTGGGAGAGTGGACCTTTCCTCGTCATACTCTCACCCACCCGATTCGACAACGTCCCCGTTGTCGGGCGCACCGCTGCCGCCGCCACCCTGCCTACCCCTCTCCGGCCTTTCCCGGACCCGGCGCTTGGTGTGAGTCGGACGAGACAACAGGTCCGCTCTGATACCACTTTGTCACGAGGTCATTACCCTCTCTCATGAAAACCGGTTGTCACAGGTGTGCAGCACCCCGCTTCTTATAGCCCAGGACCTACCCGTTCCTGCCCGATGTGGGAAGAGTGGACCTTTCCTCGTCACACTTGCAGCTTATTGGCGAACGGAGCTTTAAGCTATAAGCTTTAAGCTTTGGCCGCCTCTCGAGGATCCAGATGCAATTTTCTGAAAGTGTGCTGGTCAAATACATGCGCTTAATTTGAATAGTTTTATGCAGTTAATGATAAATCCGACGGAGGAAATAGAATCTTTAATTGCTTTGTTGGATCTATCTCTCCTGTTGCTTCATGGACTAAGAAATGACCTGCAGTTGAATTTTCCATCAATTATTGGCTAAGAGTTGAAGCAAGAGGCAAGACTTTCAGGTTCAGACAAAAGGGGTACGTCTCAACATATCTATTCTATACATTTAATGACCCTCCTAACATTTGAGTCACCAAAACAAAGATTTGTCTTGCAAGCTAAGCCTAGGCATTTCCCCTCAATTTCACTTTGCTCCTTGCTAAAGGTGACTTGTTCGTGCAAAGCTCACAAACATCACTTACCATCAAGAGATAGAGAACATATATAGAGCTTTTTCCATGACCAATGAAACTCTTGTTCCATACGTGAAATATGCAGAGACCTATCAGCTTAAGTTTTTTAGTTTAGTTCAAATGGTGTCCAACATGTAAATATACGCTTTTCTGGTGCGCTAATTTCATGGAATCAAGGTATAGTTCATCTTCTTGACTAATTGATATCAGAGTCAAAGATTCGATTATGTTTGACGAGTACGCTAATGCCATATTTTTGGGAAAATGAAAGAAGACAAAGCGTTATTAGTACAGTGCTTCTGAGACAACCTGAAGGTATGTTGACAACTAAGAGAAGTTGGCTTATGTATTATGCTGGTGCTAGTCTAAAAGTGCATCAGATCACAACCCACAAGTGAAAGGATGGGGTTTATTGAAATTTATATGAGAAGGTATAAATGTGACACAAAACCCATTAATTTAGGCTTTTGAATCAAAGTGATATTCCACATACACTTAGGGGCCCCTTCGATGTACAAAATTTGACAAAGTGCAGGGCAGCAATCCGTAACTTGTTGGCATCTAGATACATCTTACCTGGTACTAGACATTAATCTCAAAGATTATGAAATATCTGCGTAGCCCCAAGAATCTCGGTTATTTGTAATGATTATGAAATCCATAAACAAAATTATATCGGTCTTAAAGATTATTTTAGTAGTAGGCTAGTAGCTACAGATTGTTCATTGTAGAGTTATGCTTTCAATTGTTTGGCATATGAAAATAATTTAGTACTGCTAGTTATCATTGTCACTCTGTTTAGACGCACAAGGCCATCATATCCATTTGCCACAATATGCGCCACTCCAATTTTATTATACAAACAACAACAACAACAACATTACTATCATAAGAATGAAAATGGAGACATGCAAATGAGAGTAATGGGACCAAAAGTTTCCCGCACTACTCACAAAGCAGAACAAACAAAGCAGAACCGTGCATCTCCACTGCTATTGATATCAACTGTTTTGTCGCTCCATACTTTCCACTCCAAATTTCTCGGTACTTACACGATGCTCCATTCAAGTTTTTCTGCATAACTACTTTAGCAAGGTCTGCTATGTTAGCAGATATCACGGTCTTCTCTGGGTTCAAGTTGAAAAATGCAAGATATATTTCTCCTGGAAAAAATGTATGAGAAAGATCTTTAAAACGGATAATGAGCTTTCAAATAGGACAATATTATGCTTTACAGTGCTCAAATCTGCCATACAAACTGAAAATGCAAATTGTACCAACAGTTTCATATACATATCAAACCTCTTCTTCCAGTCGCGATCCAAGAATGAATTCCAATGGAATCAACATCAACTGCATGAACAATCAAGAAGTATTTCGAAATTAAGAAAAATACAAATTATAACAAAAATGTAACAAAATCTTGAGGTTTTTTTGTAACAGTTCACTTTAGCATCAAATGTATCACCTTCCAATGAGTTCACGGCCGCACATAGACCAGAATAACTATTTATGAGGGCTCCATTAGCATTCAACTCCCACATCTGTAAATTTCAGAACGGAAGCATCAGACTTGAAGACTTATTCCCATGAAACTAGCCTAGAAAACAATGGTCATCATTGACAAGACACAAAAATTTACTGGATAATGTTTGCATTTAAATGCTGGTTGTCTGATAAGGCTCAGATTTGTTTCATGCTGGCGAGCATGAGTTGATAACAACTCAGTCCTAGGATTGAGCATTTATGATAGAACTCTTAATGATTCTTCTTATTTGGGATTAAGGAACTCCTTGAATGAAGTTGTATAGAACACAGTTTTGACAGCCAATTGTTTTAGATTCTATTTTCATTGATCACCTTTGGCTAAAATTTCAGATTAATTAGTATTTCAACTATGGTTTCTTCCTGTAGTTTTAATTGAGAGTCCAACTTCTCTAGTTTTGTAAATTTAGAAATAGACAATACCTGATTAGCGTCCCACTTGCAAGGTGAGAAAGAACCTCCCCCAAATTCTTTTGAAGTAAGCCTCCTTCTTGGAGAAGCATCCAAGCATAATTCCCTTTCATCACTTGCTAATAAATGGAGTGTTCCCTGATATTGCTGCCTGTGAATCATCTCTTCACCCCTGCATTAGTAATCCAAGATTGAATAAGAAAATTGTGCAAGTTACAAATATTGACAGGAAACAAGCTAACTAAGGAAGATAAAACTAATTACGAAGCCAGAAGAGGTTTTCTTTTGTAAAGGCATGGAGGTTCCACAAATTTGCTCCCCAATTTCTCTTTCCAGCAGATTTGTTCAAGATCTTGGTCAAGAGGTTTAATTGACCAACCATTTGCTTTAGGATCCTTGCAGGTAGTAAGTTCTAAAGCTAGTATATTAAACATGCCCCCTTCTGTCAAATGTTGAGAGAGAACCTTAGTCTTACTTCTAGATCCCTTTATGCCAGTAATATAAGGAAACTGTAAAAACAGCAAAATATCATGTTACTATTTACTCTAATGGGTTTCAATTTTCCAAAACAATGTCCATTGAAGTTTACATGCCTCCATATTGTTTGAGCTAAAAGAGTTTATCTCAAGCAGTGTAGGGTTTGTGATCAGATTGTATGTGGTTTCGTCCAGCTTTCTTACATCTCCTCCAAACATGAGAGGTGACTTGGCCATAGCCCATAAAGTCATCTGTGAAAAAAAAATGCTAAGGTCAACATAAATGTCTATTTTTAGTGCTTGTGTAATAAAAAACCAAATCACAGGTATATACAGAAACATACCTGAGTTCTTTGCTCATCTAGATTCAGATTACACGTTCTGTGTGGACCTTCATTTGAACCTAGAAAGCAGGAAAGTATCCAATTATTTATGGTTCTTCACTGATTCTAGCTAAGTCCTCACATATAAATGCCCAGCCCAGTGCAGATGCTTAGCAACTTATGATGTCAAGTCTTTAGTCCATAAACAACTTGGTTGGGATTTTCTCAAACATGATCTATGTTTCAGAATTTGATTCTAGAGACAACGCGATAAGAACAAATACATTTTATAAGTTGCTCTGCAGGAGTGAATATGTCCCAATTCCTCATGAAATGATGTAAGGTTGAGTGCATGGGAACAAACAAGTACTGTTCACCTAACTGAGAGTTAACAGCAAGCATCTCGTTGACACTTCTTAATTAAATGATACATGTAAGCCTTTTGAAAAAAAAAATGATACATGTACTGTGTTACTAAATTGTGATTTTGCTTCAATGAATATTGTCTTCTTCTTGGAGTGAATGGGTAGGGTTGATAAGAGAATGAAAGGGAATAGCAATTTTCCAGGGCTTATAACCTGGATCTGTGAGCCATCCCAAAGGTAACATATCCAAATCAGGCCATGACCTTCCCAGCAAGCCCTTGGCACCTATCATTTTTGAGGTAGAGAAGTCTCTAAAATAAAATCCAAAAATATCAGCTTATGTAAAAGATAAAGAAGCAAAAGTTGAAATTTCATTTGAAATATATATCTCTTAATTATATGGAATGCTTGATCCACCTGGTAACATTAAAATGGGACACAACATCTCTCCATGTATCCCAATCATCTCCAGTAATCCTGTACATGTTGACTAGTTCACTAACATCTTTAGCCATAGCTGGTGTCACACTGGTACCAGGGGACAATGAATATAAAATAGGGCGATCAAGCTTTCTCAGAACCTGCAGAAGTACACTTTGGATAACTTCTCTCTACAGAAATTTTAACATAAATATCTCTGGTTTTACCATAAACCACTGCATACCTCTGATACAAAGCTTATCTCATCTATATCCAAGTCATCACCAAATACACAGTCATGTTTTACTGCAAACAGAAAAGCAAAGGATATGAAAGACATCAGAAGGGTTCCAATTATGCCACCACAAAATGGAAATTTGTCCGATCAAGATATTCATTACTGATTGAAACATATAACAAGGATTTAAGTGCCTCATATGAGATGAATTAGGATATAGTCCTCTCAGGCTTTTCCATTTTTACCCCTTAGCCCCAATTAGTAATTCAATCTTTCAAGGAAGGGAATATATTTTAGCAAGCTGACAAGCTGAAAAAAATGCAAACAATGAATTTACCATTTTTAATGCTATTCAAAACACACTATAAAACTATATTTCCTAGGGCATTCAGTCAATTTTTTTTTTCCCAAATTCAAAGTATAGTTATGACACTGAGCAGGAAGGCTTTAACACAATAGTCAACATTACCAAAATCAACACCCCACTCAGCATATTGGAGATAAAGTGACCTCAAGAAAGCTCTTCCAGCTTCCAGCTTGGTATTTACACTCATGAAACCATGTGACATCCAAGCACAAGCCCTCTCCTTGAGCCCTATATCTTTTGCCCTCCATTGTCTGCCAGACTCTTCATAGGCAGATCCCTAATAAAAAGATAATAGAAAGAAAATAAAAGTTGAAACATAAGTGTCAAAGCTAATGCTTCAAATTGCTTGAGTTTCTTGAAATGCACCTTTAACAATGCCATTTTACTTTTTGATGTCCAATGTAGGTTTGAAGCCACCATGCAGAGAATAAAAAAAACGGAGTAACTTGTAATGGGAATAAGGATCAGTACCTTGGCAGTGTCTAAGATGGGGGTGTTTGCATTAAAAGCTTGCAGGCTTATCCCTCTCATAACATGAATTCCAAACTTCAAACCCATGCTATGTACTTTCTTGGCTACTTCTAAAAACCCTTTTCCACCTTTGGATGAAGGCCATCTTCCTGGGTCAGGGATCGGCCTCCCCCATTCATCAATTACATCGAATCCAAGAGAATCAGTGTAAGCACCATCCACCTTCCTTCTATACCAAAGGTAATCCACCACAACATACTGCATACAAGCGCAGGAATAAAATGAAGAAAAATAAATTTTTTTTCATTTTTGCATAAAAATTTCCACTTCCATAATGCTAAGATATCAATAAAAAATCCAAGGAAATTAATATGTAGCCATCAGCAGTGTCATACCTCATATCCATGTGGCTTAAGACGGCTAGAAATAATTTCAGCACTCTGCAAGAACTCTTCCTCAGATATGGTCCAGCAAAAGGAATCATAAGAGTTCCAACCTCTTGGTGGGGTGCTAGCATGCTCTGGTTGAGTCACTAATTCTGTTTCAGATGGTAACCTGAAATTAGCAATCATCATGATCATCACCTTAGCACTAAAAAGAAATGGAAAATCATTGTCAGACATCACATAGTTTAATGAGAAGGTGAGTCATGTTGCAATAATATGCATCACTGTTGACATTGAAAAAAAAAAATTACTTGAATAGGAAAGAAGGAAAACAAGGCAGATATTTGGCCTATCCAGTTGAACAAACTTCAATTTTATCTTACAAGGAATCCATAAACTACGAAGGAAAAATGCTAATTAAGCTAAATATTAAATATTTTCCCAAGTTGGTAGGGGCATGCACGGTTTGAAGAACATATATCTTAAACTGAAAACCGCCAAAAAAAAAAAATTGAAGATAGCGGTTTGACAGTATCATCAGCTAATGCTATACATGTTTGATTCACACCCTCCACTCATCTCAAAACAGCCATCCCCTCCCTGGTGGGAACCCAGTTAAAGGACGGCTTTGGATGGATAAGAGTGGAAGGAGGAAGAAATTCAGCATCAGTCATTTGTGTTTAGCATGCTCTGAATTGTTTCTCATCAGTTTCATGAACAAGGAATTTTGGAACTACTTTGCTGCTAAAAGGCAAAAGCAGCAACATATAAACAACGCATAATAAAGATGCAAAATATTCTCTTCTTCATAAAATAATAATAATAATAATAAACGAAGCGATGCAGTAGGAACTTCTTGGTGTTCCTTTGTCCTTGTTTGGTACTACTGATATTTTCAGTTTTTCACTCCATTTGAACTTCAACTGAAAAAGCCGTTAAGTCGGTAGTCATTTTAAGTAACGAGAAATGAAGTGATCAATCAAAGTCTTTAAATAAAAAATCATCCGTACAATTTGTGCAGCAAAAAATAATCCAGTCGGCAATGGAATGAAAAGCGAGAGAGATAGAGAGAGAACCTGCAGAAGGAAGGAGTGAAGAGGAAGAGGAAGAAGAAGAAGAAGAAACAGAAAAAGCTCGAGAGCAAGATCTTCATGGTGATTTCGGCTATATCTGAAAGTGTTCCTTGCCGTGTCACGCGGAATTGTTGGGCATTTAACTGGTCTTACGAAGGGTGGTTAAATACTCATCATCATCGACATCGTCCTTCACTTTTTCAGACGTGTCGATATTGCTCAGCTGACGTCAACATCAGACATTACTGGGCTCTTCCTCATCGTGCCTGGAGCGTTTCTTCACTTAACAACTGATCCAGACAAGGACAAACAATGCTTTCGCATGAGGCGTGGGGTCAGCCTCGTTACGGCCAGCCCATTTGTCTGGTCGGCCCAAACTCCACTGAGTGTTTGATCTTTGAAGCAAGACTTTTAGGCCCTACCCAAGAAGCCCTTCCAAATGAAAATAAAACTCTTGTAAATTTCACTAATATTTTACACCCACGTCCTGATGTTGGAACGTACAAAGTCATCTACTGTTTTTGTGACAAATATGAGATATGCTAAAATCGATAGATAAAGAAAGGGACATATATGCTAAAAGTTTTAATATGTTGTTTTTGGAGACAAAACTGCTAGTGCCGGATGTCCCTGCAGGGGCAGCCCTCACGAGATCAACTTCCAACCCGGCCTGAAAGGCCAATACCTGTCTGCACCCGATCCCATGTCTCTTACTCTTCCAGGCTAGCAACTTTATTGGTTGCTCTCCGTGCTTAGCTTCCCTCCTTATAGCTTGTGGATAAAAGAATCTTCATTTGTCAAATGCCGATATGCAGTTTCCTTTCAGCGAAGTTCCTCAAAAATAAATATAAGTAATGACAAGACATACGTACTATCAGGCTTTACACATGCAAGGAGTCAGGGGGTTCTCCCAAAGGTCATAGTTAGGGAAGGTCTCTTCTGGCAATCCCGTTCGGGTCTGGTGGGTCACGACTACATCCTCAACAAAAGTTGCCCACCCCATATAAGGATCCCCAAAAGATTTAGACATAAGCCCCTTGTCTGGTTTTATGGATTTTTGACGGTGACCCATGTACCTTCTTGCCCCGATAATCAATTTAGCAAAGTTGCCTCCATGGGTCATCACAAACACATCAGACTTCAGGCAGACCAAAAAATCAAGTGCTGCCAAGCTTGTTACATGCTTCCTGAAAACAGCTAACTCCTCCTTACTGGCCAATTCCTCTTTGGTAACCTGTTTAAAGCCTTGTAATGAGCATCTTAACTTTGTGACAAGAAAAAAAAAAAGACTTATTTTCACAAAAACTATAGAAAAGGAAAACAAAGCATGACAGTCAGTTTCCCATGCATCAATTCCAGTCAAATCCAACTAAATGCATTGCAGCATCTTGGATATATTTCCTGTTTGTTAACTAACAAATCAGTACGGGTAAACAGCTTTATCACTCCCATATATATATATAGATAAAATATGGTACAAGGACAGCAGCACAGCATGAGAAACTCCCCAGATAGATAAAATGCTATAAACTTGAACAAAAAAAATAGAAAATGCTACAAAAAATTTAAAAGCTGTCAAGTTATATTGCATTTGGATACGGAAAAATTATTCCGGACAAGAAGATTTTCTAGCATTCACAGATAATAAAGATTAAAAAGCACATACCAGATTTGGAAACATATTCCTTAAGGGTGCCATCCGGTTCTGACCACCATAAACCTGGCCAGAAGCAACATAAATCTGTGTTTCCTTCGGATAACCCATTGCCCGAAGAATCACTGCCACTTCCCCAGGTTCAAGAGGACACCGTCCCTCCTTCCGCTTCTGCAGTGCCAGCTGCCAGAGATGAGATCCATTCTGCATTCCCAGGCACTACAAAGATGAGACATAATCTGGGCCAAATTTTGGCTCTTACTAAAAAACAAGCAGAAAAAGCAAGTTGCTCTAAGTCACCTTGTACCGTCGAGGCCATTCTTTTTTTCTGTATTCTGCCATTCTAGCTTTCTCCTCCCTAGTCCCAACAAAATCGCAGAATGATAGGCCCACCATTCCTTTCTCAAACCTAAGATGTAGAGCCCTGAATGAAATGAACTGCTGGTTAATTTGAAGTTGAAATTGCAGCAATTCAGCATATCAGCAGAGTCTTAACTGAAAACATTACATACATGTAAGGATTTGGACTCCCTGTGCGGTTCCTCATCCTTGAGACCAATAAATCTGCCATTTCCTCTATCTCTGGAAGAAATTTAAGAGCATGATAATTGACCCTGCATCTTAGCCTGTTGATTTCTGGAGGTACATTATCATACCTGAACCAATACCCAAGAGAAATAAGGAAAGAAATACAAAGGAGAATAAAAGAGCTAACAACCCAAGCCCAAGTTTATTATGTAAAAGGAAAACTTTTGTCATGACACAGATCTACAACATCCATGACTTACCCAAGTCTATCAACAAAAGGTTTTAGGGCCATTATCTTCTTCTCTTTGATCCGAGGTAGCACATTGTCAATGAAAAATTGTGCTGGTGCATATTTTGGAATGTTCTTCACTGTCCGTCTATCACACATCACAAAATCTCTCAATGAAAACAATTCCAGTGACAAAAAGCTTGAATAAATGTCTATTAAAAATGCTTTATTAGTTCTCGAATTCCAGCGTCATGTAATGCTTTATTATTTCTTGAATTCTCATGTCATGTTTAAAGTCCAGAGACATTATTAACCAAAAAAGCCTATGATTGAATAGCTACAAGCTCCAAGCAGAATATGATACACATGCAGCAAGATGAAGGTCTAAGATGAATAAACATGAACGGAGGCATGAGCAACATACTATTCTAACATTTTCCTTTTCAAGACAATTGGCAACAAGGTCCCATTGTTCTAAACTTAAATACAATAATATTAACATACTCTGTCAGTTAGTCTAAAAAAAAAAATTTTGGTACACTGTCTATTAAAAGTCATTACGACAATGTCCCAATCATTCAAAGTCCCATAGAGAACCCGCATCTCCCCCACCTCTAGCTTGTGTCTCCGAGGCCTTCATGCCAATAATAAACTCATACTCACAATATTGAGGAAAATCAGGATGCCATCATGATTGAAGCAAATCAACAGAAGCAAATCAACAGAAGCAAAACAGCTTCTAAATCGGCAGTTGAAATCTGGCTAATTATATTGCATATATCCAGCAGAAACACAACATAAAGAAACAAGAAAAAATCACCTTATACTTGTAAATAATTCTGATTTATCAGTGAACCACTCGGGTATGTCACGGACAATTCGCACATCATCCTTCAAGTAGTCAATGAAATGATTGACATCAAAAATGTCTTCAAATTTCCTGCACACAATTTTACAAATATATTAAAAACAAAAGCAGGAATTAGAGTTGCCAAGTTAGATAGTAAGTAATGCAACAAAGCGATTTACTAAGGTCCATGAAGTGATTAATTAGCGGCAAAGGAAACTCATAATTTTCACCAACCAATAGTTTGCTTCGAGGTTGAAATTTCAGTTCAATGCATGAACAGATTTAATCTTGAGGTACTGCTATTTATATATTAAACTAGACAGCTTCACGATGTTGTAAGCCAACCTCAATTAACTTGATTGAGAAAACAATAATAATGCACCTAGATATTTCAATTGTTAATTAATGACTAAGAATTTTGATGTTAATGCATACTACATTAATCCATGTAGGTTTTAGGCATTATTGGAGCTTTAAAAACATTGGATATGAGAGACACAAAGAAACTATAGCCACACTAAAATACAATTCCAACCACCTTAGTTATAAGAAAAATACTCTTTTCTATATGATTTATCTGCATTAAGGTCGGGAAGCTCTAGTATAATAATTACATGTCTTTTTGCTAAAGTAATAATATCAATCACTCTTTTAACTGTATTTATTTAATTTTTACCTATGCATAAAAGGACTAATGTTACAACGGCGATAACAATCATGTGCACAAGACCAACAGCATGCACGAGGTTATTGGACAAGAAATCTCACGTTTGGTCTTTCCAAATCTGGTCCTGCTTCAGCACTGGCAATATAAGAGTTGCATTCATAATTTTGGCCACAGCAACTGCATTACATATCTGCATGGAATATGCAATAAGTTCAGAAGTTTGTTGCTGGCCATTAAAGATACCAAATCAGTAGAATTTCAGAAATCATTCAGCGAAAGTTCCATTTTAAGGACGATTCAAAGACAAGAATAGAACAATGACTAGGTCAACAAATCAAAACAGAACTAAGCACGAAAAGTACTTTCAGAAGCACTTTATTTACAGATTCCGATCTTAGGCACTGATGTGCTTATAACCATCATTGTTTTCTATTCATATCAATTACTTGTATCAAAAGAATTTGAATGTACTCCAAAAGAAGTCCCCAGGACAAAGTAGGCCAAGAAAAAGTAAAAAATATAATGTAATTGTAGGCTTTCTATTACATAATAAGTTACAGTCATTAAGGTGCCAATATAATTGATTATGACACTTGCCTTTCAAAAAAACAATTGATTATGACAATTTCAAATTTCAAGATGAGGCTCCAAGTCAGTTAGACCAAACATAAATATTAGTAATTTTATAACTTAATCAGTTGAAAAAGACTTGTGGCCTCTTTCAACTCCATAAAATACACATGATACATGAAAACTGGAAACAGGATCCATACCGCAATTCTTTGCTGATTTAGACCACCCTCAGCATGAATAAAAATATAACCACTTGTTTCATTCTCAGGAGGAAGGTCTGCAAAATGGTTAAAATAGTCACTATCCTAAGCTGTCATTAAATGCAGATGAAAATGAAACAACTTGATAACACATATCAGGAATGTAATCATTAACATGTCTGAAAACGTTTAGAGTGAACTAGTCGTTTATAGCCATAAACTTCAGCATTTCTCTATCTTGAGAATATATACAAATTGTAGAAGCAAGCCATATGATAATATAATCTTCTGCTAAACTATTTTCTCCAACCCACAACACAAGTTAGGACACATTCAGAAGTAACAAACAATTTCATAAACGGATTTCACCAAATGTGGGTGATAGCAAACACATAGTACTAAAAAGGAACTACAGATACCTGATATTCCACCATCGCGGCGCTCAGCACAAGGCTTCCAAGAAGTAGTTGCAGAAAAAGGATTCTCCCAAAGTGAAGGATTCTCCTTGACCTAGAAAGCATAAAACCCAATTTACAAATGGCACAAGCCACCGATGCAACAGGAAGTAAGCAAAATAATAACAATCAGAACAAGATCCAACAGAAGCTTACACGCGGACAGTGAAGAACAATGCCATCTTTTTTACACAAATACGGAGAATTCTACAACAAATTAACATAGCCATTAGTAATAGTAACACAAATTAAAATCCAAGAAGAAAATTTAACCTTCCCTCACAATTTCTATTAAAAAAAAAACCTTCAATAAGCTAATCTTTAATTACACTTCACCTCCTAGCTCATTCCAATTGAAAAAAAAAAATCATAAATTAATAATATTATTATTGCAAAAAAAAATAAAAATCTTATAAAATTTGAAAATCCTAAGCAACATTAAGAAGAAAAAAATCTAGAAAAAAAACTCAGAAATTCGACTATTTAATAACAAAGTAAATTGCTTTCTTACTAATCGATGTAAGATCGAGAAAAGGGAGATCAATCCAGCAATGGCGACGAAAAGGAGCAAGAGAAGCGAGATCCTGGAGCCATGTTGAGAAACCCTAGGATCATCGTTGAAGAAAGGGGAGAAGGACTGAAGTTGCGACCAAAACGAGCGGTCACGATCTCGTACAGAATGGCGAGGGTGATCGTCGTCGTCATCCTGAGGGATGTGATCGTGGATTAGAGGAGAGGTGTCCTCGTCACGTTTCATTGGAGAAGAAGAGGCTCGGCTCCCGAGCGAGCTGCTCGAGTGCCTTAGCTCAGCCATGGCTCGCTTCGGACTGTAAGCCAGCTTTCGAAAGCTCTGCTTCCGCTTCTTCGAGTAGGATTTTGGTGACTGGTGGAGGTAAGACACTCGAGGGACAAAACGAAGTTCTTGCAGAGGGCACATGGCGTCCAGTTCAACTTGCCAATATCGAAAAAAGGGGGTGAAATTACCTTCATTAATTAAGGGCATTTTAGTCATTTCATTTTAAAATTTAATGAAAAAATAAATATAAGCCCTAATAACGTCCCACGCACAGAGGGGGAGGGGAAATCCCAAATCGTACCAAAAAGTATTGCAGAAATGAACGCGATAGCCAGGCGAGTTAGTGCTACTATCTTTGCTCCGGCGAGTCAGGGGGCTAACTCGCTGGGTCGTGATCCTAGTCAGATTCAGCAATGGAGAGGGATACGGGTGAAGGTAAGGAACGGGAACTTGGAGCGCGCGTTGGCGTTGATGCAGAGGAAGATGCAATCGAGCGGAATCGAGCGGCTGATAAAGCAGGAACAGACTCATCACATTAAGAACTCGGAGAAGCGAGTTTTGGCACGCAAGAATCTGGAGCGTAAGATTCGATCGCAGGAGCTTGCTCGCAAGCTCCAAACTATCCTCATCAAGAAAGTCAGGTACTTTCTTTCAGTTCCTAGAATGTTTTAATTCTCTTCACTTATAGTATAAGGCTTAGATAGCTACAGTTAAAAGAAGCTAAAGAAAAAGATAGACTATAGATATATTGATGGATGCCTTAAGTGACTATACTTTACCTCTATGTTCTTCGTGTCCTGTCAATATTTTCAATGTTTCAAACTCTGTGCTTCTTTGATTTGGGGAGATGTGAATGCTATTTTTTTTCCTTTTAGACTAGTATTTGTTGTAATGCACATGAATACTTGTATTTTTTTTAAAAAAATAATAACAATAGATAAATCCTACAATTTAGAAGTATATTGAACATAGAATTCTAAACCAACCAAATCATTTTCTAATGGAAGTGATTCAATGGAATTAGAAATTTTATCATATATAAGATAAATCTTATTACTCTTAATTTATAAATAAAATTGGAAATATAATAAAAAATTATTTAAAGGGCAATTTAGAAGTAAAATGTAAAAAACATCTTTTTTTTTTCTTGTCAATAAAAAATTTTACACGCAATTATAGTATATTATACATATAGATTATAGGTCATAAATGAATATAGATAAAGATATAGCTAATAGATTATAGAGAGATGGAGAGGTTATAGATTGATGAGATTTGCTGCGGGTTTCTCTGCAGCTAGAGTTTTGCACTATCGAAATTTGTACAAAGGATTGGTTTTTAAGAATTTGTAGTCTTTTCTCAAAATTAAGTTTTGGCTTTCATTCCTGATAAGCAGTTGCTCTAATGTCTTTTTCATAGACCTTGCTCACGTCCAACTGAAAGATCTTTCCTTTGGTTCTTGTTTTGCATTTCATGTCTAAGGTACTGATAACTTTATTTAAATATGCAGGGGTCTATGAGGACAGCTTTGGTGAAGTTGCTGGTAAATTTTGCAGAAAATTTTTCATTTTCTTATGGAATTAAGGATCATGCAAACTTTACTTTTGCTAAACCTCATCAGTTGGCGAATGGCGGTGGCTTTGTACTGATTTCAAATTAATGTAGTCTTTCAGGAATTTACCTGGTTGAGAAATTGATGATACCTTTCTGTGGGTTGAAACAATTACTACATGAAATCCACTTTTCTTCAGCCGTGATCTCCTGTTATGTTTTTGGCTCAACATGAACTATAAGATTGTTGACCATGGCGATGATTAGCTGCTTTTATTCATTCACATCTGTGTACTGGTAAAACATGTGTAAGCAGCAGCAAACTATGCAATCCCATCTTGACTATAATGTTCATGTGGGAGTGATGGCTTTGAAATGCTTGATTTCAAATGTTCAAGCATGCTGTTGAAAGTGAATTGAAAGCGAATGCAAATTGTGGTGGATTTCCTTAGCAATGATGGATGGGTTTTAATTCAGTTTTTCCTATATAATGTATTTGTTTGGTGTCTAAAATGTCTCAGTGTTCTGGTGCCAGATTGCCCATCCCTTCATTCAGTTTCCCTTAAGTTGGAGATGGTGAAACACACCAGCAAAGATCACAACGTGTAATAACAGTAACAGGCCCAATTCGTGTTGTGGTAATCCTGCCCTACAAATGGGGGGCATTCGAAGAATCTTTGATACAAACTGTCTTTACATAGTTCAAATTGATCATATGGTATTTTTTATATATTTTGATTAATAATAATTAATTTATTTATAATTATAAAAATTTATTTTTAATATAAAAATTTAATCAAATATAATAAAAATAATAATTTATTGAAATATTCTTAACTAATTCAAGAAATAAATAAGTGAAATTGATTGGTTAGATTTTGGTAACTGTCATTTCCGGGTCTTAGTTACCAATATCGGGTACTAATGAAATTAATCCACGACCCAACCACACTGCCCGACCCGCTGTAGTAAAACTTGAGCTGACTCGGACCAGTCGACTGTTGCTAACTCACATTAGAAAACCACGAAACCCCCATAGCAGAGGGTTTAAGAAGCGAAGGCCAAGCAGCATGAGCATTTGACTTTGCTGCAAAAATCCTCAGTCCTCACAAAATGGAGACGACAAGGCTCCGTTTGCTGTTCGAGGATCGCAACATTCTGAACAAGTCACAGAAGAAACAAGGACTAAAACGAAGCTGGATTCTCCTTAAACCCCAACACCAAACCATCTTGGATCTTTCCTCTCATCTTCTCTACGATTTCCACCTCCACAGATCTTGCCCGAATGGCCTCATCCTTTCCGTAAGCCTCTCCCTGTTTCTCTCTTGCTTCTTCATGCCCTAATTTATTATTTTTGTGCTTTGTTATAGCATTAATTTTTCATTGCAGATGGACGGCTTTGTTTTGCCACCTTTCGAGTCAACTTGTATTTTCAAAGATAAAGATATTATCAGGTTAGTTTATTTATAATATATGTGCCTTTTTTTTCCTTTTGTGTGTGTGCCTGTGCTTTTTTTATAATTATTTTTGGTTAATTTGAAAATAGTGTGAAGAAAAAAGGAGGTAAGCGGACTGAGATTCTTAAGGTAGGTGACGGTTTGAATTCTTTGGAAGAATTAGAAATAGTAGAGCAACCGCCAGTGAATACAGGCGTGAAGCTTCTAGCCAGTGAGGAGTTTGACAAGCAACCTGGGGGATATGAAAGTGAACCGGAAGAAGATGAACAAGAACTTGAGCCATTGGAGAATGAGGAACATGTGGAAAGCACTCCAATTCAAAACATTGTTTCGAAGAAAAGAAAGGCATCGGAGAAGCTTCCCAGACCTAAGTAAGTTACTTTACCCAATCTCATGAAAACTGCATTTTTATTGATTTATTAAATTACTAGATATCTGCACTGGTAATTACTTATTATCTTTAATTTCCATTGTTAATTACATTTATATTACAGGAGGAAGAAAAGTAAACTGGCTAGTGCTGGAAAATCTCCTGTTTCTGTAGATAATGGAAATGATGTCCATCTCAAGAAAAGCAAAAGCTCTCATCAGAGAACTGCTCTCCCTGAAGAAAAGGTTGTTGAGAAGGATAATCCGGTTGATATACAGGGAGAACCAGAGAAGTCAAGCCACCCTGAAACTGATGAAAGTAGTGATGACGATACCAATGTGGGGAGGTAATTTCTATCCTGGTAATGTGGGTAGTTACAACATATTATAAGAGAGATTGATTGAAAATTTTGAGTTCTTAAATATTTTGGAATTTTCTATCCCTCATTTGCAATGATTTGGTTCATCGTTTCTGCAAAATGGTTGTGTGTGGATTAACTTAAATAGCTTCCCTTGTCTTTGCTTCTCTTATTGGCTTGTGGAAGAATATTTCTTCATTTGCATGTTTCTGTTTTGCAGGTTCCCCCAGCTTCAAGAAACTTGCAAAGGGAGTGTGGTTGTATCTCAGACAATTAGTGAAGCTAAAAAGGTTCTGATTGACGTTATTGTTTTGAATGGACTCGATTAGTAGTTTCTAATGAGGAATCAGTCATGTCGGAGATGGTGTCATATCTCTTAGAGAATTGGTTTATAAAGTTTGTGTTATCTACATGAAGAGTTGGTGTCATTGTTAGCAGGACCTATAGACCCAAGCCCATGCAGCTACCTAATGTACTCAACCATCTCATATATGGTGGTTCGATGTAGATCACTAATGTTCCCCGCATTTAATGTAGAATTTTACTTTCTTAATTGCTTGATAATATCATAGTTTTTAGGTTTGTCAACTGTGCTTGCTTACTGCTTTATCTGTATTGAAATTCTAACACCACTGCAGTTTCTGTTTAAATTTTTACTTTCCAGCTCCCTAGCAGAAGCGCACGACGTAAAAAAGCCAAAAGGCAATGGTTGAGGGAGCAGGCCAAAATTGAAAAGGAAAAGGTATTTCAGACTTTAGAAATATTGTCTAGTTCTTTTGGGCTTTTAAGGTCAAGATTTTTGGTCTACACATGATGAATTCTAATAATGAATAATGCTTGCACATTCATTATTAACGTTGACAATTCAGATGTTTTCTAGTTTATCATGCAGATGATACATGGATGTAATTAAGAGTTGGAATGATATGTTCCTGTTTATAGTAAGGTGAAGGTTACAGCTTACATGTTCTAATACATGAACGTGTGCAGCTGTTTGTGTGCATTATTTCTTACACTGCTTTCTAAGCCATAAATTGTCAAACTAATAAATCATTTGTATGGTTTGTTTGTCCTTACCTATATGCTTTTAGAAAAAAGAAACTCATGCATTATTGACTTAGATGATAATTCTATTTCATTTGATTTGCAGCTGCCTTCAAAACAGCTGCATGGGAAAGATAATCAGCAATCACCTGCAAAAGAGAATCTCAAAGTCTCTGAAGAACATCTACAACCAGTTAGCAATATCAGTGGTGAGGATTACGTGGTTCCAGTAGTAATTAGGCCGGGACATATTCGCTTTGAGCCCCTCGAAACAGGTTTTGGTTCTATCTCTTTCTGGTTCTTGAGGCTTAGCTGGGTGATATTAAAGTTTCATAATCTGAAATTGCAACATAGAGCTTGAGATACATTGGACAATGTGTTTGACATGCGTTATTGTTTTCCAGAAGATGCAGAGCGAGCTGTCCAACAAAGTCAAATTTCAGGGGTATGTTTTATTGATAATTTTATAAAATTTGTGACCTTCATTGTGACTCCCTCTTTTTGAAATTTTGGTCGGGAGAGGTGGTCCAGCCAGCGGCAAATAGGGTTAAAGAGTGAGGGTGGACAAAGAGATTATTCTCCACTAAGTGGTGATCTTATCTTGGAAGGAGGGGATTTTTAGGGTTTTAGCTTATTTGTTTATATCATATTATTTTTCCTGCATTATTCCATTTACATATATCTACATAGCTTATTTTCCTTTCTTTCCAGTCTGTTGCATGCTTGTTCACTGTTTAATTGAAACAGAGGAAAGCAGAGCTAAATCATTTATTTTGGCACATCCCGCTAACAGTGCATTATTGTTATTATCATCATCATATTGGATGTTGCTCAATCCAGTTCATCAGTGCATTATTTTTCTAACATAGTTGCTTATTCGGATGGCTGCTATGTTTTTGTTGATGTCAAATTTCTGTTGTTTGGTCGTGTCAGGAAACCTTTCAATGGAATGGAATAACCAGCAAGAAGAAGGGTCAAAAATGGGGCAAGGAGAAAACTCCATTTCTGAAAAGGAATGATGATAAAAGTTTTAGCCAAGTGAGTACTGAAATGGTGGCTGTTGAGGAAAAGGCAACCAGAACTGATTACATGGACTTTGAGAAGCTTATGCCCTATTCTAGCTTGCCTAAGGTTCCTTACTCTCTCTCTCTCTCTCTCTCTCTCTCTCTCTCTCTCTCCCCATGAGGCGAATTTTGTTTTGAGTGAGACAAGGTGGCATATTCTTCTATATGTACCGTGTTTATTATGCCATATATTGGTTTCAAATTCATATTCTTCAGAGATATAAGCATTAATGTTTTTTTTTAATATAATGCAGGAGGGAGATTTTGTTGCATATCGCTTAGTTGAGCTATCATCATCTTGGACCCCTGAGCTTTGCTCCTTTCGAGTACTGCTCTTTCTGAATTGTAGTTGCTTTATAGTTCCTAATTTTAATGACATGGACTTTTGCATTTACCCAATTTTTCTGCCTATAGGTTGGGAAAATATCACACTATGAAGCTGAATCCAACAGGATCATTCTGGCACCAGTGCCGGAATATCCAAAGGCTTCTGAGAAAAAGATAGATGGGGATGAATCTGAACTACAATCAGACACATCCCTTTATGGAGAAGATGGCTCATTAGAGGTATATAAACTCAAATTGTAAACTCTTCATATGATCAGGAATTCCTTTGTTTTTAATGTCCTTGTGTTGTATTGACAACATTGGAATTCAAGCCTGTAAAGTAGGTATTCAGTATTTAGGTGAGCCTTGCCCAATGCTTGGACATGTTATTGTGCTATATGTTATCTCAGACATTATAGTTGTGCTTGTGAAAATTTGTCATGCATGTTGAATGAACATTTTGATAGTTCAAACTCTCATGGTAGATTAAACTATTTTGTGAATCATGTTATCTGGAAATATAAGATAGTGATGCCTGCCTCATAAGTTATTCAAGGTTACAGGATCGGAAACGGCTTTAATTATGATTGAGGATATAAATAGAATTACGGCTTCTTGGGATCCACATTTTTGTAATTCATGTCCATTGTAAATTTACATGCCAGAGGCTAAGCTCCAATTGCTGTTTTATTCTTGGTTTTTTTGTGCTTGCTTCAGGAGTGCAGAAAGCTAACAAACGAAGTGTTTTTTGCTTTTCCAGATAGATTATACCTCTCTAATTGATGTTCGTCTCATCAAGCGTGGCAACTCAAATACCAATAGATCAGTTGCTGGTGGCATCAGTGAAAATAGTGCAGAAGATCAAAATGTTTTAGAAAATAGACAACCAAATGGCAGCAAGGAAGCAGCCCTTGTCTCAGCCCCTCCTCCTGCTCAAGGTATTAATAATGCTGTGTGTGTTCAACATCAGGTTATGTGATTGAGTGCTCACTTGTCGTGTTATTTGGTAGCTAATGGTGTCGTAAATGGGTGGGAAGAAATTAGCCAGGCTTTGAGTGCAAAGAAGGCGGAGCTCTGTAAAGAGGATGGTTGGAGTCAAACAGAGAGTTCAGGTAGGAGCTCGTGGTCCTATAGGGCCCTAAGACGCAGTGCCCTGGGCCCAACTATGGCTTTCTTAAGAGCACAAAATGGGATCTTAGGAGAAGCACCAACATAATTCAAGTGTAGTTCCTCAATGTTTTTGAACCTTTAAAAGATGAGAGCAAGGCAGTTTTGTTTTGGCTTTTGCTTTTAATGTACACGAATGTCTCTGGTGCCATCAAACTTAATGTCTTTGTGTGGAATGCAAATGTTTTATTTTTCACTTGTTTTACTGTAGAGGAGCTTTAATCTTTTTCTTTTTCCAATTTTAATTCAATGGGGAAATTTTTGGTGGACTTAGCCAGTTTATTTAGCCAAAGTTATCAAGTGCAGACTGGCAGGTTCAACCAGTTGAATAGCGACCTGCCATCCTTACCAATCTGGAATGATAGGTAGAACTGTTTGTTGTAAAAAATGGGGGATCGAACTGTTACAAAGGGGCAAACTGTTGGACCAGCATTTTGCTTTGGGCTATAAAAATGAGCTGAAACTTTGACTTTTTCAGCAGGGCACCAAAATATACAAGAAGGTAAAGTCTGCTACACTGCCAATGCCGAGAGCTCGAGCTACAGTCCTCTTGCTTTCTTTTTGAGTTTTTACTTTCACATTTCTCTTCGTTCTTCTGGTCTTCACTCTTCAAGGCTTTGTTTAACGTGTTCTTTCTCTATCAGCTGCCTCATTTTACATTTTTCTTCCTGCTGCATCTCACTTCAAGAAGGTTGGCTTATTTCTCCTCATTTTTTGTGTTAAATTTGTTTGTAATTGGTCTGTGAAAATATTTGTCTATGAAGCTACTGTTTTTGTTTTTGTTTGATTTACTCTTTAAGGCCCAAAAAGGAAAAGCTATGTACTCTGTTTAAGATAACTGGTGATGGTGTCGAAGATACTCTTTTGAAGATCAAAGGTTGGTAATTTAATTTGTTTAGCTCTAACTTCTTAGTTTAAACTTTAAATTTGTACCTTGATTAAATTTAATTTAAGATAACTATGTCTATTTTGTTGATTAAAATTTTTTGATAGATCTAAAATTTCTGAAAGTTCTGTCTAATTTTTCCTCTGCTATGTAGGATATTTATATATTTGCCATGTTTTCTTTTTTTTTTCTAACAGATAATGGACACTTCTAGCTCCACACAGTCATCTACTCAACATTAATCAAAGTCTGCATGATCTATTCATACCAAGTCTGATCCAGCATAGGCTTACATCTTTGAACAAGAGCTACTGATGGGAAGAAAATGAACATGTATTCTTTTTGTGAGAAAGTTGTGAAAGGTGGAGGTATTAATAGAATGGAAATGCATCTTGCTGGAGAAAAGGGTGATGTTTGACCTTGTAAAAAAAGCTCCTGGGGATGTCCATTTCAGAATGACAGAAAATGTGAAAGAAATTCAAGATCAGGAAAAGCAGAATGAATTAACTGGAAGCTTTAAATCCCTTTGGGTGTAGTTAAATTTAATCAAGGTGACATTCCCGAGGATCATGGTGATGACTCCACTTCTTCCTCCCAAGTTGGTTGATGTAGTAAAAGTAGTGATGCGTCAAACAAAAGGCTAATGGCTGTTTAAGGGGTCAGAGCTTATTATCCTAGTGGCACTAAACAGGGTTCTCAGCCCACTATTAAGGCCAAACTCCAGAGCAAGAAGAAATGGCATCAAGCAGACTTAGCTGTTACTCACTTTTTCTATGATGCTTGTATCCCAATGAATGCTGCAAATTCCTCCTACTTTCAGCCAATGATAGATGCTATAGCATCCATGGGTTTGGGATATGAAAATCCTGGTTATCATGCTTTATGAGTCAACTTACTGGAGGCTGCAAAAAATGAATTGCAGCTGCTTCTTAACTCCTACAAAACCACTTGGACACCGACACTGGATGTACTATAATGGGAGGTTTGAAGGATATCAGTCAATGATCAATTTGCTTGTCCATTGTCCAAAAGGAATATTTTTAAGGAATCATTTAAACTTAAAAAAGAGACTATGTGATCAGTATACCAGCATCATAAAGGAGAGATAGGATCGGCAGCTTCTCTGTGATCTCCATGGTGCTGCATATTGGGTGAATCTGGCTTTTCTATATGATCAAAAAAGGTTGTCAGAAGCCACGGTTCTGGAAGGGCTTGTAAATGTTGTTAGCAACGAAGTTATTGGGGTTAGCAAAACCAAGTTGTTGGATGAGACAACTCTGTTTTGAGAGCTTATGCATGATTTTGGACTAGATGTAGCCTATGCTTCGGGAAAACTTCAAGACGGTGTAAAAATAGTAAAAGGAAATTATTTTAATTACGTAATGTGAATTTCTTTTATTATGTTTTTTTAGTTTTGTATACTTACATACTAAATGTCACTTTCTATCTTCTAGATGAATGGTGGAGGTTGTTTGGGCACGACACTCCAAATTTGCACAATTCAGGTATAGGAGCAGGTTTGAAAGGGTTTCTTTTATCTTCTTGTCAAACTGTTTCTTCCTCTGGTTGTGAAAGAAATAGGAGCTGGTTTGAAAGGGTCCATTCAAAGAGGAGGAATAGGTAATGATGTTGTTTATGTACTTCACAATATCTCTTTGAAAGATGGGTATGGAGCTTTTATCTTGTTAATTTGTTATGTCACTCTGTTTACTTATTTCATTATGGAGACGGCTCTGGAATATGGTAATCAAATTTATTTATTTTGTTTAAGTTTGTAGGATTTGCAGCAAGAAAACAACATTCGATCCTATTGAGTGTGAGTGTATTGAGAAGATTGATTATTGGATTATCGAGGAAAATCCTTCATCCCAACTGGGTGTGAAGAGTTGGACTCACCCAAGAGGAGCAAAATGCTCATACACTCGGAGGTTAGTAAATGAAGATGCAATACTAAGCAATCACCTCACTTTTATATGTTTGATTTTGGTGGATGATGCGAAGATGGAGAGGACGACGATTTGTTAGAGGTTAAAGAAGGGATGGATCTTTCGTCCTTTGATGTTGGACCTAGTGGGTGCAAATGACAATAGTCAAAGATTAAAACATCTGCCTAAGACGTTGAACTGAATCGGACCAAATTGAACTGATCGATTAAATTGATTCAACTGAAAATTGCCTCCACCAGTTATCTCTTTAGAAAAATTGAATTTAAGGTGTGGTTGCGCCTTGGTCGCCCGTTTTAATCAGACTGCCGGGCTTTATGTTTAAACTTCATCGGCTTAAGTAAATGCTATAATTAAGTATGCTAGGGTCGGATTGAATACGTCCTTATTCAAAGCCTGCAAATTTGACTAGTTTACGTTTATTGGCAATGTATCTCCCCTTCCCAAGCGGTGCTTATCATACCTTAGCTTGGGAATTTGCTACATTGACAGATCCCAATTTGACTTTTCCGATGATTTTCTAGTGATTCATGGTTCAGCCTGTGTCTGGTCTAAATCACACCTCGCTTGATACTTAAAAACGTTGAAACCAACCATTCTGTTAGACTCGAGATAACCACAGAGAAGTTAGTTGCAATGGGAAAAGGGGGAAACACGTTAACAATGAAAATCACTTTGATTCTCTTTTCAAACCCAAAGAGCAACACCTTTCGTTGTTGGATGTAGCCAGTCGGCAAACTGAAGAAAGGGTGAAATAAATTTCACAACTACTTATTTCAACCGAGTATTTACTTGGATTTCCTATTAGTGTGTACAGCAGGCTTAATTTCTGTACATGGTTAAACAATACCTCGGATCTGGTCAAATGATACATCTCACAAGCATAGAGTTATGACCTGTACTGCTTGGGATGCCCAACTCCCTTTTTTTGACTAAGCTGCGATTGCTCCATTCTGACATTCGATGAGGGTGCTAAGAAAGATCATTACCAACCTCTTGAAGAAACCCTACATCATGGTTTAGCCACTCTCAATCATGGCTGCCCTGTTCAGCCTTCTGGAACGACAAAACAGTTGAAAAGGTTCAGGAACTGCTCTGGCTCCTTGCCTTCTGTAACTATCTACATGTTGCAAATAAATTTTCCACATTAGAGAAATAGCTCATAATATCAAACCATAAACAAAAACCAAAGGGATAGGAAGAGACCCGTGTCTGCATGGTATTGCGGTTTTCTTCCTACGGTTTCAGCAGTCTAGACTGCTTTAAACTATAACAATAATGCAATAAAACACACAACCTATTGTATAAGTTCATGTGTAGGCCGAAAAAAGGCCCAAGGAGATTGCCAAAAGACACTTGAGACTACCGAAGAAGGAAAACAAAATTTGTTCAAAGAAGCCAAATTCTTCTGCTAACAACATACAAGTTAGCAAGCAAAAATGCCTCCACTTTACACCCCTCTTTGTGTATACAACTTCGCTTGAGAGAGTGCCCGTGGGACTTACATGCCTGTCTAGACTCCTATCAACTTTTGCGCAGCTGTAGTTTAACCACGCCCCTCCCATTTTCCATATCCTTTTTCAGTAGTTAACTTCACTAGAAAAGAATCTTGTGCTCCTTGATTTCAACACTAATCAACTCTAAAGTTTGTAGCAGTCAGGAATTAGAGCTTGTATGTTTGATGGTGAGGATCAACAACCATGTTTACACATGTAACCTGATTCCTTTCAATCCTCCACTACTTTTATAGGAGTGGGTGGCGATTCTCCCTCTCCTGTTCTCCCTTATTCCAAGCTAAGAGGGAAAAAATGTATATTGAAGTGGAAGTTTCACAACAATACCTCTCTAAGCTCTAAGCATGGTATTATTCACACCATTTACATGAGGATGTACATCGACAAGAATCCAACAAAAATATATTGTTATACTTAAATCTGGCCTCTTGAACTAGAAGATATATATATATATATATATATATATATATATATATATATATATATATATATATAGAAATTCACACAAATTGTAGCTAATGGATTACAGATCACTCATACAACTACCCTCAATGTTATTCTCGATCTTCTTTCTGACCTAGAAAAAAGTGTTCCACTTAATGGCTCATGCAGAATTCTAAATCACTAATAAGCTAATAAGCTATTGAACAGAGACTTAAAAAACCACAAATTTTAAAGGAAAATAAGATTTGATATATAATTTTCAGAATAGAAGTGCGGGGTTACCTGTATAGAGGCATTTAGGGGCAAATCCATTTTATTAAGAAAGTCACGGCCAACAGATTCCCAGTGAGGATGGCTATCCTTGTATGTCTCATCACAGCCTACAACTTGGCTGTGTCCTTTTTCACACACACTTCACGCCCTAGCCAGACATATAAAACACCAGAATCACTTGTACCCAAGCTTGCATCGGGAGCCAACAACATATATGCTGCTCCTGACTCAAGGATGTGAGATCCATTCATCTCCACTTTATTGAGTGTAGGCCAATGGTACATAGCCGAGGTGGTTACTCCTGAAGCCTTCTCAAAGATTCCACCGAATTGAGGATGACATTCACCATATTCCCTTTTATCTTCACTCCCACTATGTGACTCAATACTAGCAGCAACAGCTTCAGAATCTAATGTTAACTCTTCTCTATTGTCTTCAGGCTCATATTGATTACAATCTAATTCATTCATTACAACATCATCCAAGTCGGGCAGAGAAAAGGACCAAGACCTTACAAGATTCCTGGGGCCTGCTTCATCAACTGATGGTAGAAGCATACGTGGTGGAGGATGACTGCCCCTGCGCTCGGCAATTGAGGGAGAAGTACCTTTACAAGGCAAACAAGTATTTGCCGCCCTCGAAGTAAGGTCAGAAGAAAATGTCTGGGTCGGTAAAGGGAAAGTTTCTTTACATGGTAAACAAGAATTATGTGGCGAGGAAACATTCTTGACTGAAAACATATCAGTAGCTTCCAGGCCAGAGGGTGAAGGCTGCCGAGAAGACCAATATGACAAGTCAGACCAATTAGAGGATGAGGGTGAAAACGTAAATGAACTGGCATAGTCAGGTGTTGAAGGTGAAAGTGTAGGAGACTTGGAATGAATTTTGCGTTGCTAGCCGCAAAAGAAGAAAAAGAATTTGGTGAACTGCAATGAGACCTTGGTGGCAAGGAGAATCAAAAAGAGTAACGACGGTTCTACTTCCTCACAAGGATCTGGACTCTGAATTGGGCTACTATCTGGGAAACAGTCGAAGGAGTCTGGTGAACCACATGGAAAGATTGACGGAGATGATGGTGACGAGAGTGACATATCTTCTGAATCTCTCTGAATGTCAATAACCATATCAGTTCGATCACTGACTGGAGTCAACTTACAACCCAGTTTGGATGAATTCACAAATTCTTTCATGACGCCATTAGCAAACTTCTGTCTTAGCCTACCCCAACCATTTTCTCTGGAAGGAAGGCAAGTTTCTGATCCAGCGGTTGACACTGAAAAAGGTGGAACAACTCCACCAGCAAGTGCCTTACGGAAAAGTTCAAAATCCAAATCATAATCATCTACCTTCCTTTCACCGACCCAATTTTATTTGACGGAGCCATCTTATCGTTATTAGAAGTCAAATTATCTACGTTCCTGACCTCTGCTCTGTCATAACCATCTGCTGAGAGCTGTCCAGTAGCAAGGGCATCCCAAAATTCCAAAGGCTCTTGCCCTTCTCTAATCGTTACAATAGGACCCTGCGCCCGTTCATACCGAACAACCTGATTGGCAGCCAATCCAGCACTACTCGACACTACACCTGGTTGCATTTCTTTCCAATCCAAACATATATAGCAGAAGGAACATGCACAATGAACGCCCCACGTGAATCAAGCCCTTGTTTACCAGGATGATTTAACATTTTTGGTACAAGATGAAGAGGATCATAGGATGAGTGCGGAGCCATTCTATACACCCTAAGCACAGAATTCGGGCTTGCGCGCACAGCATGCACCCTCTTTTGGCACTGCAGAAGTTGGAAAGCAAATCCTGTATTTGGATTAGTCACCCCTCGTGCTGCCTTCACATATTGAAACGCATCCTCAAAGCTCTGGCCTTCCCTCCACATGAGATAGGCAATAACCAAAGAGGTTGATCTTGACACTCCCTGGCAGCAGTGCACCAGAACCCTCCCGCCTTGTTCTCGAACATCTTCAAAGTAATCAAACACATCATACAGAATACTGGTAATATCCTCAGACGGGCTATCTTGTAACCAAAGTGTTTTGTAAACAAGATCATTCTTGAAATACTCGGGACTAACAAAACCAACACAGTTCAATACATGAGTAATCCCATTTTTTCTCAAAATTTCCCTATTCTTAGCCACAGCATCACTCCCTAAAAAAATATGATCAGCAATCCTGGAACACTCTTTATCATAGAAAGCTAGCTTATCTCTCCTCAACTGAAACTCCATATTGGAACCCGGACTCTCAAGGGGCTTAACAGAGCCTCTAGGGGTCTGGGGATTAGGCCAAACACCGAGATCATCAGAACCAGGTTTTGGCCACTCTTCCACAGGCCTTCTAGTTATTGAAAGAGGAGGCAAACAAGACCTCCCCTTCGTGTTCTGTGGCGGTTTCGGATTAGGCTTAGTTGGCGAACGGTCAGTCCAAGAAACTGACCGTAGATATGGTTTCCGGGCAGTAGCAGCAGCCCCGGCATGCCGGTCCTTTTCTTCTTGGCCTAACATCTCAAAAAAAAAAAAGAACTCTAACCAAAATTCCAACAAATTAATTGATACCCATTAAAGGATACTTCCAGGAAAGGCCATTCAAAATGGGAAATTTATGGTCTTTTTGACAATAAAGAGCCCTGTTTTTCTACCTAAACCCCTTGACTCTTTCTCTCCCTATCTTCCTTTGTTTATTTTCTATATGTACAAAGTTTAGACAGAGAAAGAAGAAGAAAATTCATATACGAATATGACCCAGTAAAACTTGTAGCTGGTATGGCTATGGGACCAATAAAAATCCAACTATGATAGACAAAAGAGGAAGAAGAAAATAATATATTTTGTTTATTTATTTTTAAAAACCTGAGATTTTTGAACAGACACTTACTTGGAGTCTACCTTCAAATGGAAAAACCCAAAAAAAAAACAGAAAGAAAAAATTACGAGTCATTTGAAAACTCAACTTTTGGCAGCGGAATTTTCATATGAATCGTCAAGGAGGTTACTGCAAAAGGCAAAAACCATTCAACCAAAGAGAAAGAGAGGAAGAAAACAGCGACAGAGAGGGACGAATGAGTTGGAGGGAACGAGTTGTGGCGGGCTCAGTCGTAGTAGCCCATGGGAAGGCGTTTGTTGGATTTTTGGAAATGAAAGGAAAGGTGAGAATGGGTCAACGTGACATGTCATCCTGGTGTGTGGCGTATTAATCATGCATGTCAAGTCTTGTGATGTCATTTACACTATTGCCACCAAGAAAGAATTTTCATTTTTCTTTTAGTTAGAGAGCGAAGAAAGAAAATTAAGGGAAATTTTATTTTTAAAATTATTTCTTCTTTATGTTTTATAGCATAATCGTGGATGATCCGGAAGGAAACTTTAGATGCACTCTATTGAACTTACTTATTACATTTCTTTAATAACCATCATTTATTTTTTTTAATTTAATTTTTTTATATATTTTTAAATTAAACAATAAACTAAACACTTGAATATAATTTAATGTTTAATATTTCTTTAATTAATTTGTTTCAATTGAAAAACAAAATTATTATGACATGTACTACACCGTTTAAATTTAGCTATGTAGGTAAAAGATAATACTAATACATATTTCCAGGAATGACTTATGTGTTACTTAAACTATGCCGTGTATTGGAATCTTTTTCCTTTTCTTGTATTTTTTATTTTTATTATTTTTCTCCCCTTTCTTTTTTTTTTTTATGATCTAATGCTAATCAGTAATTTTCAAAAAGAAAACTAATCAGTCAAATTTTTTTCTTTTTTTTCAAAATTAAGAAAAAATAAATTCGACTCTTTAAATAAGAAATTTATTATGAAGTTACAGCCCATTCACTTTGGACATTTTGGGGACCTTGTATCCAAACTCAAGTTGGTTACTTTATTACCAACTTGAGCTTGAGGGAGGATGTTGACCATCCCTGATTTCATATCATTAATGGAATTTCGTGGCCTAATCTCATGCTCATTTTGTGAATAGCATAAATCAGGGGTGTTATTCTGAGATCTCTCTCCCTATGTATGAATACTCCAAGCTTTGTATAATTCTAGTATCTCAAAAAAAAAAAAACAAAATTATTTAGTGTTTCAACTCATAAAATTAAATTTATTTTGTATGATATTTGTATATATTTTTTTAAAAAAATTACATTAAACAAGCTAGTACTAGGTTGCATCCTTTGTTAAATGTTCAACCAAAGTTCATAACTTGATATTCTAATTCGAGTTTTTTAGCTTTCTTTTTAGTATTGACTGATGGCAATGTTAAGCTATGGATCTCAACAGTTAAGGAATTTATCAATTTGCGAAATTTATATAATAAAACCATCGCACGTCCATTGAAGTCAAAACAAAAGGCTTGCCACAGTTCCAAAGCCGGACCGATGACTTTCCGTGAACTGTATTGTGAGATGAAAAAATGGAGTTGCGAAAAGCAATCTTGTCCTAAATTTACGAATTTAACCAGCAACAAGCAAGAAAAGGACAAAGCCCCAGCTGGGTGAATGAGACAAAACCAGGCTGATAGGCTGTTGCTTTGAAACTTCCAACCCAACCAAATTGGGCAGATCGACAGTAGTAGAAATTTGACCCAAAGATGACCGGCTCACTCTCCTGCGCCACGAGCCAATGAAACGAAACTGCAAATCCCTAAAGGACACTTGACCGTCGCCGTTGGAAACCCCCCACTTGTAGTAGAAGTGTATGACTGCTGTTTTGTTGTACTAGTTTCAAATTTGAAGATATCACGCTGGAAACTTACCCGAGGGGAGGGGGACAAACACAAGTGGGTCTTCAACTTTCAGCTTTCCTGTGGATTGAAAGAGATTGTCAGAGGTGTGAATGGAAGACTAGCGTTCGACTCCTCCCAACTTGCACATCATGTACACTAGAGGTCACTCACGCCATTTACAGTTTAACATTAATACATGCATGCGGTAACCGTTGCACCTCTCTTTTCGTTTATGAGCACTTAAACAACACACCCCAAATTCCCTATGCTGTTTGTTTTTTTGTTTTTTTTGTCAAAAAAAAAAAAACAGAATAGAATTCATCAATCAAAAGAAACAAAGAAAACCAAGTTTATGTGTTCCTGCTCATAACAGTAAAATCTACAAGAAAGAAAGACTCTGGATCTCCTATCACAACCTGTACATCCCCCAAAACAACCCAGGAGGTTCGCATGACCTCCACAAATCCACTCTAGAGTAGGAAAAAACCATAAGATCAAAAAGGCCGCTATACAATCCAAGCCACCAGCAACCAAAAAAAAACCAGGCAGCATCACACCCAGACAATCAAAAAACAAGATAACAGCAATATATACCAAACTTAAACCAGCCTTAAAAAAAACCCAATGCTGTTACTTGGATGGTGGATCCACATGTTGGTGCCTTACATTTGGTTTAGATTCTCTGTTTTTGGCTTTTCAATGGTTTGGTTGTGTCAGGTGAATGGTTTGCTTTGAAGTAATAGTGAATCATTTAGATACTAGCTAGTCATACAAGAAGCAATTATTCTTTTCAGTAATATTATTTTCTTCCGTTTTTAACTACTTAATCAAATATTCACAAATTATATAAATGTAAGAGGAGTCATTCTACTTTGTCATTACTTTTACTCCAAATATTTGTATTCTTGACTAATAGTTATCTATAAAATACATTTAGAGATGGGGTCTATCCATTTATAAGTAAGTCAAATCATTTACAAAGGAAATATTAAAGTCATATTAACTAACAGAATATTGTCACATCAAGTAATAAAATTTTTGGACAGAAACGAAATGCTAGGACAATTTTATGAATATTTATATTTTGTTCAACAAACAAATAGTACGCAACCAATTGGAGGCTAACACACAGTATAGAGGGCTTTTAGCAGCTTAAACAATCCAGATTTTTGAGTCTGGCTCAACCAATGCATTCTCTGCACGTGGCAGAAAGATCACATCATGAAGGGCTTGGGTTGCCTAAAGAGTCTAACTAGGAAGAAATTTTCATCCAATAAATACCTGACAAGTGGCATACATGTTTTTCTCCTGGGGAGACTCCGAATAGGTATAATACTTTGACTGGATTGATAAATGTATGCCCAACTCCCAGCAAATTTGGTCAAAAATGAATCTAATATTTTTCGTATTTTAAATTATTGATATTACTAAATTCGTCAAAATTCCGTCGGAGAAAGTTGAAAATTTGTGGAGAAAAGTCGTAAATATGTAAGAAACGTTCAAAGTCCATTGAGAGAAGTCGAAAATCCTGTTAAATCTATCGAAAATTTGTCAAAAAAATTATAAATTTGTCAAAAATCTATCACAAAAGTCAAAATCTTTTTAGAGAAATCGTAAATCTATTTAAAAAAGCTAGAAATTTGTTGAAAATTTTGTGTTCTAGTAATAGAATTTCATCGATAATATATTATAATTCCAACTTGATAGGTTAATTTATGACAATCTGTTAATAATAATGTTAAATTCTAACTATACATCTAACAAATCACAACTAGACAAATAATTATGCCTTAAACAGGATGTTAGCGATTAAAATTGAAATTGTTCAAATTATTAAAATACAACAAGAATAAAAAGTATGAATATTTGAAATCTCAAAGTCATAACAATCCAAATCTTCATAAAAAATTTAAACAAAACACGAACATTTTGAAATGCAAGCGCATGTAAACAAAGAAAAGGAGCTCAAGATTCAATGCATGTATGGTTATCTCAAGTCATCAAGTTTGCCATTAATTTGTCATCCATTACAAAAAATAGAATATTATTGACGAAAAATTGCATCGGTAATAGTTAATATTTCATTAGTATGTTGTATTATCAACAAAAATTTTCATCGATATTCAGTCGAAAATATTATGGTCGGTAATGACAAATCTGTCAGTAACGAAATATTGCATCGGTAAATTATCAACTGAATATTCCGTTAGCAAAGGCTCAGATCTATCGATCGATTTGCTGTTGGTAATAAGGGAATTTTATCAGTAATTTCTGTCAATAACATGAATTAAGATCCGTTCGTAATTTGCATCAGTTATTATTGACAAAAAGATAACGTCGATAATTTCATCGATATTTACTGAAAGGTTTACCAATGGATAGCCGACAGAGTCGGCTTTGAAGTCAGTAACAAAATCCATCGGCAATGGCTTCAAATCTGTTGGTATTGTGAATGAACTACGATGGTAATTTCATTGATAATTGATGAATTTTGACTGTAATGGATGAATTATGTCGGTAATAACTATAGGATCGATTTACTTTTAGAAAATTCAATTTTGTCTAATTCGTAATAAAATTGTTCTATGATATTGTTATTGTTAAAGTAAACATATATCAAACATATACGCATATAAAACATATGAAAATGTAACTCAAATCATAATTGTAAACAAAATTCAATGTAAACATATGATAAAAATCCAAATAAGTATCTAATAAAAACCTTACTAAGGAGATGTGGGTGGCTGCTACTGTGGTGGATGTAGTGGACCTGACTGTTGTGACAAGGAAGACTCGAAGGTGCCTGAAAGTGATAACCTTGCTACAATGACCTTCAGTAAGTTATTAATTCTGCAGCATTATTATGGTATTGACATTATTAATCAATTGTCGATATCTTTTGGGCTAAAGCGTAGGAGAAAGAGGAAGTTGTGCACTGTCAGGATCACTAGCAACCTTAGATGTCACAGTTAGAGCTAGAAATCTCAAAGTGGGGACTTTAGTGCCAAATTCGTAAATGTGGATCTGAGTACTAATAAGCCTTCCAATGGCCTTGATCCATGCCTCAAGATAAAACTTCGGTTAGGTCGATGGCTTGTCACCATACTTGTGCAAGAAAGCTGAAACGTATGATTCTTACAAATAGAAAAATAATTAAAATTATTAAGTTATTTCATTGGTAAGCAACATATATATCGAATATATATAAATACATGTATTACTTACATAAATAGTTTTGGACCTGTTGTTCATAAATTATCTAGTACTCTTCTACCATTTGTGAATGCATTCAAAGAATTTGGAGAATGTCACCTAGAGCTACTTTTCCTCATACTGTAATTATGAAAAGAGAATAAGAATATAAAAAAACATCATTGCATAATACCACAATCGTTAACAATATAAAGAATTATATTATTTAAGTGAATGATTTTTAT